AGTCGCTGGAGAAGGATATCATGTTTGGTAGGGTGGAGGGTCAGAGAAAAAGAGGAAGACCCCCAGCGAGATGGACTAGCAAAGTGGCAGCATTAATGGGCTCAGGCGTGGCAACGATAGTGAGGTTGACCCAGGATGGGGCAGTATTTCATTCTGCTGTGCATAAGGTCGCTATGAGTTGGTACCAACTTGATGACACCTAACAACAACAACATATATATGTAAAAGTTGGACAACGAATAAGACTGAAGAGGAATGGATGTGTTTGAATTATGGTGCTGGTGAAAGAATAGTGCCAAAAGAACAAACAAATCTGTTTGGAAGAAGTACAGACAGAATGTTCTACATCCTGAGAAGTAAGGATGGCAACACGTTGTCTCGTGTACTTGGTACATGTTATCAGGAGAAACCAGTTCTTGGAGAAGGACATCAGTCTTGGTAAAGTGGAGGGTCAGGGAAAAGGAGACTCTCAATGAGATTGTTAGACACAGTGGTTGCAATAACTGGATCAAACAGCAAAGATTGTGAAGATGGCTCAAGACCAGGGAGTGTTTTGCTCTGTTATACATCAGGTCGCTTTGAGTCAGAACCACCTTGATGGCACCTAACAATAACAATCTATTAAAATTATTAATGAGATATTTTACTTTTTAAAAAAATTTTTTCTTTGAAATCTGATGTGTATTTGAAATTTTCAGCTCAACTGAACTGATCACACTTCAAGCACTCAATAGCCTTATAGGAGTAATAGCTAGCTAATGCATTAGACAGCTAGGGTTTATTCTATGCCCAGAGAGCCTGACATCACCTGGAAAGGATGAGCAACTAAATCAAATCAAATCTTCTAGTTAGATTACTTTCTCTTCTTCCTTCCTCCCTTTCCCCTCCTTGATACCACATAATGAATGCTTACTATGTGACAGATACCAAGCACTATTCTGGGCATTCTAAATAAATTATATATTATGTGGTACTGTACAATAAGCACAGGGTTGCTAACCACAAGATCAGTGGTTCAAATATACCAGCTGCTCCTCGGAAACTCTACATAGGGTCACTATGAGACACAACTGATCAGACAGCACTTAATGACAACAACAACGGCAGTAATTTTTCATGAATTAAAGACTTTTGAAATGACTAAATGATGGCAATAAAAAGAGGAGTGGTTAAAAGTACAGATTTGGGAGAGATGGAGCAACTGAGAACTCCAGACTCATGGAAAGAGAAAGGTTGTGTGCTGGTATCCAGGAAGCAGGCTTGCAGAATGTGCCCTTTGGCACATTATATATTCATGAGTACATTTATGTACATTAAAAAAACAACAACAACCCACCACCACCACAACAACAAACAACTGAGGGAACAGAAGCAAATACTGTTGGATGATGATGTATGGAGGGGATTATAATCATTTCAATGAAACAAAATACGATAAGTGTAAAACCAACGTTCTCCCATGTAAATTATCACTCAATTCACAATAATTTTTTTTTTTTTTTAATGTACAGATTTGGACAAACTCTATACATTGGGTAAAGTTTCTTAAGTTTCAGTTTTATCATTTTTCTGAAATATGATAGTACTATCATAAGTATTCATATTGTGAAAGTTTCCATGGGTGTAAAAATATTTTTTTCATCACATTCAAACACTCAAAAATCCAAACCTGTTGCTGTCAAGGTCCCTATAGAATACAGTCAAACCACCCCCATAAGGTTTCTAAGACCATAAATCTCTACAAAAGCAGACTGCCTCATCTTTTTCCCACAGAGCGAACCTCAGACCTTCAGGTTGGCAATCGAGCACTTAACCACTGAGCCATCAGGGCGTCTTTTCATCAAATTAGCAAGCAAAAACAGAACAAAATAATCAAGTCTAACTCTAGTAATGCCACTTTGAGTATGCCTTCTCTGTCTGAATGATGTTCTTGTCTGCCTTCAATTCCTTTATCTCAGCCTTTACTCTGTCTGTGCAATTGCATCTCTCTATTTTCTTTTTATCCATGTAACTCCAGTCTTCTATCACTATTGTCCTTTGACTGTTTACGATTCCTAGGAGAGGTCAGATGACTCAATCAACAGTGCCCAGGGCTAGGAGGAACAACCTTACATAGCACACAGTGCTAATCCCAGTTCATGGCCTTGAGTGTGTGCCCACCTGGAACAACTCCCCAAAAGAAAATTCCATTTAACCTCATTTTGATCTTGTAATACCTATGTGATTCCTAATTACTTGGGATACTGGTTTGTATCCCAAGATTTTGGAGAGAACTAAAGGTAGGGACCTTCATTATGGATATGTGCAGTCTGGCCCTTCCATATCAATTCCTTTTTTTGGTCATAGATAAGTGACTCCCAACTCCTGATGTGGTGCTACAGGATCAGCTGGACTGCAAACCACAAGGTTGGCAGTTCAAACCCACCAGCTGCTCCTCAGAAACACTATACATGGTCGCTGTGAGTCGGAATCAACTCAACGGTACTTAACAAAAACATTAACAACAACCTTTCCTCAAGGACTCCCTCCACCTGACTGCAACTGATCTCTTCACTTCATCACATGCCAGTCTCCTGCAGCCACACTGATGCCTTCAACAGGCCCTTGCTGTTGGTGGATATACCTCTCCTGATTCTGTACTTAACTAATTTCTACTCATTCTTTGGATGGAGCTCTGGTAGCGTTGTGGTTACGAATCGGACTGCGAACTTAAGGTCAGCAATTTGAAACTACCAGCTGTTCCGCGTGAGAAAGATGAGGCTTTTTACTCCCGTAAAGATTTACAGTCTTGGAAACCCTGTACAGGGTCGCTATGAGTCGGAACCGACTCCACGGCACATAACAACAACAACAACTCATCCTTTGGCATCCTGGTGTGGCATTGTGGGTTAATGTGCTGGAATGCAAATTACTTGTTGTTGTTGTTAAGTGCCGTTGAAGTCGGCCGAGTGCTTATCCTACAGCACCATGCCAGGACTCCATAGAGCTGACTAAAATCAAGAGGAGCCAGTGAGGATGGGTACTGTATAGGGACAACAACAGACCAATTTATCTACTGTAGGTATGGCCCAGCAAGGGAAGATCTAGAGAGAACAGAAATGCTTAAGCAGAATTTCAAAGTCTTTATTGTAGGAAGTCTCATCTAACTCCTCTCCTCCAGCTTCCGGACAAAGTCGTCAATAAGGTTTTCATTGCTCACTTAGAGAGAACCTGAAGAAGCAGACAGCTGGTATCTGGGTTATAGCTGTTGGGGGAAAGATGCTGTAGGCAAAAAATTCCTTCCTTATTTTGTGTGCTACCCACAAGGAAACATTACTATGCATGCAATATTTAATGATTATAAATGATACAACTGTGCACTAATACAAGGCTCTCCTAAATGAATATGAATTAAACAATACTGATAGCAATCATATTAACTGAAGGGAAGAGGGATTATACCAAGCAGGAAAAAGGGGTGTATCTGAAGTTGGAAGTTAGATATGATAATTATCTAGCTCTTTTGTGGTTAAGTCAAGCCAGTGTGGGTAAGGAAGGGGGCTACTATATTTATTGTTCCCATCTCTTTCTGACTTCCAGTTTTCACTCATATCTTGTTGTTAAGTGCCATTTAGTTGATTCTGACTCATAGTGACCCTGTATAGGGTTTCTGAGACTGTAAATCTTTGTGGAATCTCTCTCCCGAGGAGCAGCAGGTGAGCTGGAACCGCTGACTTTGTGGTTCACAGTTCAGGGCCACCAGCTCCCCTGGTACCATCTTTTAAAATAACAATTTAAAGAAACACACCCATTTCTTTTAAAAGCAGCAGTTAAAAAAGCAATCAGCCATCAACCCAAATAAAACCAAGCTATCAATTTGCCTGAATTACAGGAATAAAATGAATAAAGCTCTGTTGGAATTTACCTACATAAACCAAGATTTTGTGGGGAAAAAGAAATGAAATATTTTGCTTTCTTCTTCTTCTTAGATTTGTTTACTCTGCAAAACCTGCATTTTCTTCATCTCATAATGTGCCTACTGATTAAAAAGATATATGGTTGTTTATTAATGCTCTCAAAGCACTATGCAAATTCACTTCACCTTGGGTATATTTTGCCCCTAAAGCTATGAGTAAATATGGAAGCATTTTGTAGTTAACAAGGCTAAAATACATTAATTTAAATAACACTATTTTGAGTAGATTTTCCTTTAAATCATTAATGAGAACATGAAGAGAGCTTGGGTGGTAAAGCATGAAATGTAAAGGAGAGGGTGTTTTTTTTTTTTTTTTTTTTTTAGGTATTATCAGTTGATGCCATCTAATTTCAAATTTAAATTTGGTATTGCATAAAGTGACCTTGCACTTAGCAGTACCATGACACAATACAGCTTATGCCCCAGATTTTCTGACAGCAGTATTGAAACTGTAATTTTTAAGGACCATTTTCTAATGACACTGCCAGTGAAAAAAATTAGATATTTTGAATAGTGAAGTCAGAAAAAAAGCTTGCTTTCCCTTTATCTATGGAAGAAAATATATACTATTTTTTAAATTGAAAAATAAGATAAAGAATGCTAGAGCAAAGAGGAGCCAAGCCTAGAACCTCTTTAAATGGATGTAAAGTTGTGAAAATTTCCTGAAGAGCCCATTAATACATGAAACATATACAGGTACAGGTTCTTGTGTCCTTTTATTAAACTGTGGTTTTTTTTTTAAAGCCCACACACAAAGCACCTTTGCAAACCTCTTTTCAGCTTTCCTGTGTCTACAAATGTCTTGCAAGAGAATGCAACCACTTACTAGTCCCAGACAGTTGAGTGCTAAGCTCAGCTGCAATCAGAGGCTAAGAAAATCAAAATGCTCACTTAGTCCTGGGTTTAGATCTATTCTCTCACCAAAAAGAGAGAATTTCAATGAAAGAACAACGAAAACTCTCACACTTTTAAACCGTAACACTAACTATAACTAACAACCTTTTTAAATAAGGAGCCCTGGTCACATTGTGGATTCTATCTGCTCTGAGGGAGAAAGGCGTTCTGCCTTCGTAAAGATTTACAGTCTCAGAAACCTTATACAGGGTCGCTAGGAGTTGGGCAGACTCCACCGCACATAACCATCATCACCGCGGCTGCCACTGCCACCTTCTTAAATTGAGACCTGGTGATGTGAGAAAGATGAGGCTTTCTGTTCCTGTAAAGATTTACAGCCTCAAAACCCCTATGTGTTGTTGTTGTTAAGTGCCATTGAGTCGGTTCCGACTCTTAGCGACCCTATACAGGGTTTCCGAGGCTGTAAATCTTTACGGGAGCAGAAAGCCTCATCTTTCTCCCGCGGATCAGCTGGTAGTTTCGAACTGAGGACCTTAAGGTTCGCAGCCCGATTCGTAGACACTATACAGGGTGGCTATGTGTCTTCTTTAATAACTATATAACTTATACTGGGATTATAAGCGTTTCAATTTAGCTGTTGTCATTGCTAAGTGCTGTGGAGTTGGTTCCGACCCATAGCGGCCCTTGAGAGGGTTTCTGAGGAGCGACTGGTTTCTGAGAATCACCGACATTGTGGTTCAAACCCATTTGCAGTCCAGCGCATTAACCCACAGCGCCACACCAGGACTCCAACTTAGGTGTTGTTGTTGTTATGTGCCGTGGAGTCGGTTCCGACTCATAGTGACCCTGTACAGGGTTTCCGAGGCTGTAAATCTTAACGGGAGCAGAAAGCCTCATCTTTCTCCCGCAGCAGCCCGATTCGTAACCACTATGCTACCAGAGCTCCTTACTTTAGGTGTTGGTGGCCCTTAAAAACAAAACAACAATAAACCTCTCAGAATGTCACAAATTTTATCAAACAACTACAAAAAATGAAAAAACTGTAGTAACCGTGACTAAACTGTTAAATCTGGACAGCTTTTCAACTGTCCCAAGATTTGGGCAGATTTATAGAGAAAACTGAAATGTAAAGTTAAGCAATAATGCAAGTTAGTAGTTGAATACCCAATTTTACTATAAAACATTTTTAAGTCAGCTCTAAAGAAGCTGTGGTAGCACAGTGGTTAAAGCTCCCGGCTGCTAACCGGAAGACTGGAGGTTAGAACTTACGAGCAGAACCAGGCGCTTCCACTCAGTGAGTAAAGGATGAGGCTGTCTGCTCTGATTAAAAAGACTCGGAAGCCGTATTAGAACTCCCATTGTGGCACTGTAGGATTAGCCCTAACTGTGAACCACATGATCGGCAGTTCAAATCTACCAGTTGCTCCTCAGAAGCCTTCTACAGTGTTGCTGAGCCAGAACTGACTCAACGGCGGCACTTAACAACAACAAACGCTAAGCGGCAGTTCTACTGTGTGTTCTCTAGGATTGCTGAGTCCCAGTGAAATTTACGTTGAAAGGCATCAATAATAAGTTTTCCTCCGCTTTCAGAAACGCAGCGCTCTGTTGTGGTTCTTGTTGTTATGTGCCGTGGAGTTGGTTCCGACTCAGAGTGACCCCGAACAGGGTTTCCGAGGCTGTAAATCTTTGTGGGAACAGAAAGCCTCATCTTTTTCCCACAGAACAGCTGGTAGTTTCGAACTGCTGACCTTGAGGTTCGCAGCCCGATTCGTAACCACTACGCTACCAGAGCTCCTTGTTGTGGTTCTTAGGTGCTGTAAAGTTAGGTGGGACTCATAGTGATCTTTTTTATAGAAGGTTTCCGAGGCTCTAAATCTTTACGAAAGCAGAAAGCCTCATCTTTCGCCCAGAGTTGTTGGTGAGTTTGACCTCGTGGTTAGCAGTCCAGTGCTTACTCCACAAAGCCACCATTCCTATGTTATTTGCTGTTCAGTCAGTTCTGACTCATAGTGACCCTGTACAGGGTGTCCGAGGCTATCTTTGTGGGAACAGAATGTCTCATCTTTTCCCTGGAGCGGCTGGTGGGCTCCAACTGCTGACCTTTTGGTTTGTAGTGCTGTGCTTATCCTTCAGAGCCACTGAACTTCCCTCCCTATATTGTTGTTGTTAAGTGCCGTGAAGTTGGTTCCGACTCACAGTGACCCTGAATAGGGTTTCTGAGCAGCAGCTGGTGGGTTTAAACCGGCAACTTTAGGGTTTGCAGTCTTACCCTTCAGTGCCACACCAGGGTTCCAAGACTTAAAACAAAATCGATTGTTATGATTCCAACTTAAAACAAAACCAAACTCACCATTATGATTTCGACTCAGTGATCTATACTGGAAAGGCAGCCTCATCCTGGCTTGAACTGCCGATCTTGATGTTAGTAGCCCAACCTTTAGCCCACTGCACCACCAGGTCACCTAAGCAAGAATTGTTGTTGTTGTTGTTAAGTACCGTGGAGTCGGTTCCGACTCATAGTGACCCTGCACAGGGTTTCCGAGGCTGTAAATCTTTACGGGAGCAGAAAGCCTCATTTTTCTCCCGCGGAACAGCTGGTAGTTTCGAACTGCCGACCTTGAGGTTAGCAAGACTTACTGGTAATTACTTGTAAGGGAACACAGCCTAGAGCAACCATCGGATTGGCGTTGAGCTCTACAGAATATTCTGGAAGCATCGCCAAGCCCGGCTGCTTCCCTGCAGGGAGGAGAAACGAAATCCAACAGAAGCGGTAGCTTTTGGAAGGTACATGGCTTGCCTGTTAGCTCGTTTTTCTATTGGAATGACTACGAGAGCTACGTTCCTGTGGCATTTTAAATCTGTGGACCGTTGAAAATCACCCCGCCTTTTTGGAAGTTACAAAATACCTTCTAGCTTGGGGAGGCGGGAACAAAAAGTTTGAAAAACTAAATGCCTATGACTTTAGCCCACCTAGATGGTGTACATACATACGTGCAATAGCTTTGCATAAAGTATTTATTCAACTCATTCCCTTACACCAAACTATCCAAGGCACAGAAATTCAGGACCTCTCCAAATTTTGCACACACACACACACAAAGCAAGAAAAAAGGAGGGAAATGCAAGGGGGTGGCTCCACTTCCGGGTATATACCGAGGACCATTTTGCTACAAGTGTATCCAAAGTCCCCAGCACCAAGGACTTGTGGGGCGCCACTCTGCCTGGCTCCATTCGTCCTGCAGCTCGCAGAGGTGGTGGTTGTGTTGTGAAAGCAAACCCTACCAAGCTAATTGAGAAAATGCTGCGGACCCCCAAGTGTTCCCGGTGCCGGAACCATGGTTTCGTGGTACCCGTGAAGGGCCACGCGGGCAAGTGCCGCTGGAAGCAGTGCACCTGCGAGAAGTGCTACTTGATCAGCGAGCGCCAGAAGATAATGGCTGCGCAGAAAGTTCTCAAGAGGCAGGCGTCTGAAGAAGAGGAGCAGGAGGTGGCCCTGGGCGCTCAGGGACCTGAGCCCGTCGTCGTCTCTGGGGCTGTGGCTGCGGTCCGGGGCTCAGACCGCCCACTGCCGCCCGCCGCTGCAGGGGACTTGCAGCCCAGATCCCATGGCCGCGAGACCTCTGGCTTCCCCGAGAGGCCCCCACGGGGCCCGGACTCGGGCCCCAGCGCCTTCCACTGGGTGGTGAACCGCCGCAGACACGTGGAAGCGAGCGAAGGAGCTGCCCCTGCGGCGTCCAGTTCTGTGGGACGCCAGCTCCAGGGGGAGGCCGTAGGCCGGGGACGTCCGGGCCGCCTGGAGGTGCGCAGGCCTCTGCTGCCTGTGCCCAACCCGCCATTCGCCCACTTCGGTAAGACTCCTAGGTCCTAGGGGCCTTGGCCTCCCCATTGGTTCTTTTCTGGGTATAGCGGCTTTCCTTGGGCTGGTGACCAAGCCTGCGGGACCCTGGGCCGCGTGGGTTCTGGAAGGGGTGGAGGTGGGGGATTAGCTTTTCGAAGGTAACCTTGTTTGAGAAATCTTTCTCAGAAAGGCTTGAATGCCATTTTATAAGATGTAAAGTAGAGGGATAGCAAAGAATGGATTGTCCGGGGTGCTTTGAACATTTAGCTAGTATTTCCCTTTCCATTTTGTAAGAAAAAATGGCTCCCACGCCAAATTGGTGTAGCTTCTTCCTCTCCTCAGCGCTCAACAACAACTTCCTCTACTAGGACTCTCTGAGCTTGCGCACCCCTTCCCGCCCATGGGTTGGCGGTTCCTCCCCCAGGGCTCCACAGTCTGGGCAGTCAGTACTGCGCCTGCGCAAACCCCCCTCCCCCCCACCAATAGCCTGGAAGCTCTTCCAAAAGGATGTCTTCTTTAACTGCCCTCTGGTCCAATGCGCATGCGAACTCTTTCCCGCCCTTTTCTTTGCTTCGAGGCTCCTCCCCCAGGATGTCTGCGGGTTGGCTGGCTCAAATAGAACTGGGAGGCCTTTCCTAGCTTCTGGAGACCTGGAGGCTCCTCCCAAAGCACTTGCTCAAACTGCCCGCTAGCTCAATGCACATGCGCACTCCCTGCCCTTTGCTTGGAATTTTCAGGCCCCTCCTCCAGGATTTCTCTGCGCGTGGCCTAGCTAAAATAAACCAAGCCCATTGGTCCTTCCCTAGGTTCTTGTCATCTGGATGCTCCTCCCAGGGGACCTCCCCTCAGTAGGGCCTGAGCACATCTTCCCGCCCTTTTCCCTGGTGGTGGCGGGAAAGTTGTTCACTTGTGCGCCCTCCACCTACACGGGAGGGGACAGGTTGATTTTTTACAATGGTGTTGCCTCTTTACTCCCTATCTTCAGCACAAAGTACATTTTGGCTGTTTTGCTTGTAGTAATAAAGTAGTTTCAATACCCATAGAGATTTGAGGTCCCACCCCTTTTTTAAAATGGTATTTTGGGTGCGGTGATATGTTTTCCCTCTGGCAGTGTGTTAGGAAGAACACAAGTCGGAGTTAGGAAGCAGGGTGGCCGAGTGCTCACCCTGTAATGTTAGGCAAATGCCTTCCCTCTGTATCAGTGCCTCCCCTTGGCAGTATGAGAGGACTGATTTGTTTGCTCTCAGAAGGCCATCTCTGCCTTCTGAGACAGTCTAGAAAAATCTTGGTGGAAAGGGAGAAGAGCTGTCTGATGGAGAAGACGAACCTGAAACAGCAATCCCAGGAGGATGTCTTTCTGTGTTAAGTCTCTTTATAAGGGACTTAGGTGTCAGACACTCATGATGAAGAGGTGGGGTGGCGTATTCCTTACACTCAAGGATTTTGTTCCAGTGGAAGGGAAGGCATTTATCAAAAAGTCACAGAAACCAATGTTTAAAGTTGTAACAATTGACAATTTAATTGTGGTCTGAAGGAAGAGAAGGAGTTGAGTGGGATTTAACAGAGGCAAGCAGGACTTGGGGAGAAAGCCTTCCAAGGCGGTGGAATAGTTTTTGAAAGTCCTTGAAATGAATTGGAAGCAATCTGCTAGAGTAGAGGCAGGAACCAGACAACACGCAGATTTGTGGGCCAGGTGGAAGGCTTTTGTGGGATGTGGTTGAAGGATTTTAAAAGCAGAGAGGTGATGGAAAATTTGGGGAACAGATAAGGGTGATAGTTGCCCAACATGGTGAATATAACACTAAATTGTACTATGAAAATGTTAAATAGAGAAGTGTTTTGTTACATACCATAATAAATAAAAATAAGTTAATTAAAAAAAAAAGCAGTGCTGGTCAAAGGTGTAATGGCTGTGGGTGCTGTTTGTATACAGTGATTATTGTACTGCTGCTTGCCCCCAGCTCTGGCTGTTTCTCCTGTTTCCCTCATTGCTTGGCTTTTTCAGAACGCCCTCTGGGCATGAACTCGCATTATATGATGAAATCCGACTACCTGGAGAGAGAGGCCTCCAAGCTGTACCCTAGCTGCTCCAGCATGCATTCTTACCGCCCATTTCCGCTGGGCTACCAAGATGTGTCCCCCATCCCAGGGACTCCTCTGCAGCAAGGCTTTCGGCATGTGTCCTGCAACACCCAACAAGGAGGAACTTCGGTGAGTCCCATGCCTGCCTCCTTTCCAGGTTCCTCAGCCACCTTTTCTGATTCTCAATCCCAGGAAGCCAGTTGTCAAAACGGTGTGCCTGTTCTGTGCCAGGCCCCAGGCCCCAGGCCCTGGTAGGGGGAACAGAGCCTTAACTCATGAGGTTCTGATGCTAGAAAACCAAACACATGGTAAACCCCATGTATTAACAAAGTAGAACTGAGCTCCAGAGGTTTTTCTTGGCCATAATCTTTATGGAAGCAGACTATCAGCCCTCCCTTCCATGGAACTACTGGGTGGGTTCAAACTATCAATCTTGAGTTAAGCAGCCAAATGCAAACAGCTTGTGCCACTTAGGGACCTGCTGCTGCAGGCTGCAGAGGATGTCACCCTCCCAGGGCTGTACAGTTGAAGGTAGAGCCAGGTTCCCTGGCCTCAGTGAGGCTACAGAGGATTTCAGTTATGTAAACGCCAGAAACCTTCCCCAAAACACCTGTCACCTTAGGAAATAATTTGTTGAGGAAAAAAAAACAAAAGAGAATTTAATGCTTTTATAAGATTAATTTTGTCAATTACTAACTGGTGTGCTCTTTAACATTGGAGTTTTAAATACCATGGATGTAAAAGTTATTGTTGGGGTTACCAGGTTTTATGATCCTACACTGTTGTTGTTGTTATGTGCCGTGGAGTAGGTTCTGACTCATTGCGACCCTGTACAGGGTTTCTGAGGCTGTAAATCTTTACGGGAGCAGAAAGCCTCATCTGTCTCCCGCGGAACTGCTGGTAGTTTCGAACTGCTGACCTTGCGGCTCGCAGCCCGATTCGTAACCACTACGCTACCAGAGCTCCTTAATCCTACACTAGGGTGGGTAAATGACTCTTGGCAAACCCTGCAGTACATAGGGCTGCAGGATATTGTCTCCATAAGGCTAGACTTGGGGCAGCGGCTGGTGCAAATGAACTCAAGTTACTGGAAGGATTTCTGGTTTGGTGCTGTATGATAAGCACTGGACTGTTAGTCATAGCCAGTGATTCAAACCCACCAACTGCTCCTTGGAAATCCTATGCATGGTTTCTGTGAGTCAGAGCTAACTCCATGGCACTTAACACATGACCCTGACTCCCTCCCATGGAGCTAAGAGCCATCCCTGGAAGTCTTCAGAGGTGGGGAGGAGTGAGGAGACAGCAGTGTTCTTTGGTTCAATATGGAGAGCAATGAGAAGATTAAACATTTCCATTTACATCATGTCAAGAATCATTAGCTGCAGAGTATGGGATTATTACTGTGTCCAGCGGGGTAAGGCGCACAGGACCTTGGGTTTCTACTCTTCATCCCATCAGTGCCTCTTCTACCTCTTTTGGATGTAAGTTTTAAGTCATTTCCCATTGATTCAAGGGGAAATGTTCAGAAACCACTGGTCTTGGTAATTTCCAGGGTGCTTACTGACCTGTGTGACCTTTAAGCATCAGAGTCGAACAAACAGGCTCAGAAAAGTTAAGTGATTTGGGCAGCATCACAGAACTGGTGAGTGTTGGGCTAAGATTAGAATTACACAGCTGGCGGGTGACAGAGCCAAATGTACCTTCTCTTTCTCCCTAACTCCAGAGCCCAGGAACCCTCTGCTCTCACCCTCACCTTATCCTGCCTGAAATTTGTAGATGCCGACTTTCTCCACCTGGCCACCCCATTGCAGCCCAAGGAAATCAAGGCGTCTCCAATCTCCACACAAAGAGAAGGGCTGGCCAAGCAGAGCCTATGCCGTCTGCTCATACAGAAGCTTGGAGCCTGGCGTCCAGGACTGGGCTCTGATTGACGGGTCTGCCAGACGGCCTTTGTTAGGAGTGTGATCTCAGTCGGTGTATCTGGGCTCAGGCTGCTACCATGGGCCCCAGGCAGGAGCTGTGATCCAGGGAAAGACTTGGCTAAACAGCTTGGAATTAAATCACTAATAATCTCCCCTTCTGGACGGAGGATAGGGCATTTGTCAGAGTCTTTCAAACCCAAGAGTCTATGTATTACTTTGATTCTTGTCCTGCTACTGTTGCCCAAGCTCTAAGATATTCCTTAGAGACATCTTCTTCTTTCCCACTTCAGTCTCTGTGTCGCCTGTTGTTGCTTACCCTCACTGTTCTCTTCCCAAAAGAACACAGTCAGGAGCCTGCCTCCATCAGTTACTAGCTAGATGACCCAGGGTGATTTGCCCAGCCACCTAAGGCGGCCTCAGTCTGTTCTTAACCTGTACAATGAAGGGAAGTGAGCCTGTCTCAAAGGCTGTGGAGTACAGCCAATGAGTAATGTATGCATTGTGCCTGGCACTGGATCTGGCACATAGCAGATACTTAGAAGTATTTTTCCCCTTTGTAGTTAACCCTAAGTTCATAAATTCTGGATTAATCTAAGAATGTTTTGGTGTACACCCAGAGCCTTTAACTCATATGTAGCTCTCCAGTGTGGAGGAAATCTACACAGAGTTTTTCAAACTCACTTGATTTAAGAATATATTTCTCTCCAGAACACAGCTTGTTACATCTAATATTTCTTACTACTATTTTTATTATTATTACATTCATGCCTTTCTCAGTTAAGCTCTGAGTTGTGTAACCAGCATCCCTCCAAATCCTCTTATTACAGCCTGAGGGTCCTATGGTATGAGGTTAGCTTCCAGTTACTGAAGAAACAGAAACACAGAATTGTTGATTGAGTAAATGATTTTCTTGAGGGCTCTCGGCTTCCCTCTCCACAGTAACAGCTGGATAGACCCAGGTTGCTAGTTTATTCTCCTGCCACATTAGAACAGGGCCTCCGAAAGGCCCTCTGTACATTCCTATGAGTTATTCCATGTGCCAGAAAATGGATCATGTTAAGAGGCCTTTAGACTCCTCCTTGGTGCAGAGTAGCATGTGATAGTTGTCCACTATGGTGGGCTATGGAGTCAGACTTTGGACCCAGGTCTGTCTGCCACTTACCAGCTCTGTGACTTTGGGCCTGAGTGGATCAGTGTTTCATCAGAACAGCAATGATAGTACTAGGACCTATCTCGCAGGGTTACAAGGATTGAATGAGGCAACCATCTAAACGTAATCTGTGTCAGCCACACACAGAAGGGCTCGGTCTGCTGCTCTTCATTTACCCCAGCATCTTTGAGTTATACCTGTGTTCTTTCTTGTTTTCAACCATTTTTTCAGGTGATTGCTGAACACCCTGTTCCAAGGGCCCTGTGCCTGGGTGTTAGGGCTTCTAGAGGTGACAACCCCATGGGGATGAGTCTCCTCCCTTCTGGAGGAGCAGGGGACATTTTCATCAGCCATTTGGGCTAACTATTTCCTTTCTGGTTTCTCTTGTGTGTGTGCCATGCAGGTGTCGGAACCAGTGCGAGATTTCCAGCCCAACTACTACCCTCCCGCTCCACCGCCACAGCCCCAGTTCCTCCCTCCAGGCTTCCTTTCTTCCATCCACTTCATACCACCACCACCACTGCCACCACTGCCGCCATCATCTTTCTCACTGGCCTTCCTGTCTGAAGCGGACAAGGAAACCACTGGTAAGTGAGCACCAGTTTTCTAAGCAGTTCTCCCTAGAGGAGGAGAGGCCTAATCCGAAGTACGAGTGGAGGAGCTGAAGATGGATAAGCTTGTTCAGACAGTTCCTCTCCAGACTCTGTAAGCAAGCATCTCAGGGAGCTGGGTTCCCATTTTCAGTTAAGAAAGCCAAGGCCCTGAGAGATTCTTGTAGATAAAGAGAAGTTTCAAAAAGTTGGTGGAAAGTTTGTTATCTTTTAATTCCATTTTCCTACCAACTTTTGGAAGCCCCTTCATATAAATGGAAAGGCTGGCCTTCGCTGTGCCTGTGTGGTAGAGGTGTGGAGCATGGCAGGCAGGCAGGTGGTATGCTCAGAGACCTGAGGGACCAGGGCCTCTCCATGAAGAAGTAGCAGGTGGGACCAGTTGTTCTTTTGCCCTAGACCACTCTGGAGAGAACAGCAGACCAGGGACTGAAGACTGACCCTTGGAGCTCTGCCAGTGGTGCACCGAATGTCCCAGGCCCTTGGGCCTTCTTGACCCCAGTCTTCTCATCTGTAGAATGCACTCTGTCCCAGGGTTGCTGTGAGGGTTGACTAGACTGTGGTGTGGAAATGCTTTGGGCCTTGCTTTGGGAGCTCTGCAGCTTTAAAAGCTCTAGAATTTTTTCTTTTCTGGTCCTCCCCTGAGACTCCTACAATTTGGAAAGGGCTGACAAACTCCATGAGATCTAGAAGGCCCTTTTAAATAAAGCTAGGATCAGTGGCTACTGCCCAGTCTAACTGATAAGGGCTTGAGGCCTTTTCCAGCTAAGATGGGCACGGCTAGAGATCACCTACTGCTTTCTCAGTTGCAGAGCTTTGTAGTCACAGCTGGCTCCGAAGATCCTGAACTGCTGCTGGGAGGCATGGAGACCAGACAGGCCACCTCCTCCTCAGCCATCACCTAGTGAATGGTAGTGCTTTCTAGCCTAGAGATGAGATGTGGAAACTGCCATCAGAGACAGGACTGATTTCAGGCCAGACTTTTGGCAATCATTTGTTATTTGTTAGAACACATCTGCAGGCTCTCATGGAACTGAGACCATCAAGCAACCTTACGGGAGCCCTTCCCCTCTCAAAGACAGCAGGTCTGGAGACCCTGGAGAGTTTCAAACCCCTTAAACTAGACTAAGGAGGCATTTCTTGATTGTAAAATTACGTCCCATGCATCAGTCAGGATCATCCATACTGACGAGGCAAAGAAGGGGTCCTGGCCCAAGAGGTAATGCTTCCTGGCAGACAGCAGTAGCTTCAGGGTCAGGACAGAGTAGGATGCAAGGCCAGACTCCCGTGAGCCCTCTCATGCCAGGATTAGCAGCACATTGAATTGTGGAATTTAGGAAGCCAAAAGAACCAATGGGAAAGGTAATATAAGTAATAATTGCAGCATCTGTGGGCCACTTAATCTGTACCGGGCAGTGTGCAGTGTGTCCATTTAATTCTCAGACAACCCATGAGGTAGGTGCTGTTTACAGATGAGGAACCAGAGACAAGAAGTAACTCTCCCAAAGTTACACAGCTAATATGTAGAGGAGCCTGGACTCCAGGGCCCACAATTCTAGGCTTAACACCACTCTGCCTCACTGGGGTTGCAGACCTAAGTGTGCATCTTCTCAAAGAAATTCCTTTACAGTCTGGACTATATGGAACCCAGTGGAGATGAGAGCAAAGGAGCTCATCTCATTTTGCTGGGAAGCAGGTGATATGGTGCTGCCATCCCATTTTACAGATGTGACCCCTAGAGACAAAGCCAGGAACCTAACTCCTGACTTGGACCTCTTGCCTACCATTCTGGAGAGTTCTCCTGGCAACCAGCACACTCCACTGTATTTCTAGGGCCTATGTGCTAGCTACTGCTCTCACAGGGTGCAGCTGGGAGGCCCTCCAATGCGCCTCAGGTCTCTGGCATGAGGTGTTTTGGGCAGTGAAGCCTCTTTTCCCCAGAAACACATACTGACAGCCCTGGCTACGCTGGAGAACCAGTAATATCAATCATGCTTCCCAGGGAAGAAGCAAAAATGGGAACGTAGCCCATGTAGATGTTCTCTTTCTGCTACGAAGTAGCTGCCAAGCAATGGAGAGTTCTGGACATGGTGTCGGGAGTGAGCTGGCTCTTGGATAGCAGAGGGGAATGGGCAGTGCAGTGCTGGGTACAAACTACAGATGCATCACTGGAGGCCCCCACTCCTGTGGGCTGGGGGTATTTTAACAAAAAAGTGTTGATAGATGGCAAATAGGTATCCATTCTTAGGTTTGAACTGTGAGACCTGTATAAGGGGCTAGCTGTGTCTGGTGAAGAGAAAGAGTTAAATTGTATGCGTGAGCACTAGAAACAGCCAACTGCATGAGCTGATTGTGGTTTGTGCATCTACAAATCGGTAAAGTAACAGAACAATCTTAAGAGCCACGTGAGTCTGGTGATACCTCCCCCACTTTACTAAAGAGGAAATTAGGCTCAATAAAATGAATGAGTTTCCAGGTTCTACATTTAGTTCATGGGAGTGTAGTGGCTCTGTAGGATACACAATGGGCTGCAAACCACAAGGTCGGTGGTTCATGCACACTGACTGCTCTGTGGGAGAAAGATGAGGTTTTCTGTCCTGCAAAGATTTGTACAGCCTAAGAAACTGTATACAGGGTATGAGTTAGAACTGACCCCACAGAATTTAATAAGACTAGTTAATGGTCAGAATCCCTGGGTGATGCAAACAGTTAATATGGTTGGCTGCTAAAAAAAAGGTTGGAGGTTCAAGTTCACTCAGAGGTACCTTGGAAGGAAGGCCTGGCAATCTACTCGTGTAAAATCAGGTGTTGAGAAAACCCCTTGGAGCCCAGTTGTGCTTTAATAATATAATGGGGTCACTGTCAGAATTGATTCATTGGCAACTGGTTAACACTAGTGGTCAGGTTAACTCCGGGCTTGCCCATGTCAGTTGGTCTACTCACTGAGGTGGGAAAGGAGGAAAAGGCCTCAGGCCCCATCAGTTGGACTGGACAGTAGCCCCTGATGCTAGTCTTTAAGATAGAACTAGTCTGGTGCCAAGGAGGTGTTAAGCACTTAGATCTGGTAATGGAGAGGTGGGAAGGCATGGCTGGGAATCACTGGCCCTGGATCCAAGAGACTTGGGTATTATTTTGAGCAAGTTAATTTCCTCAGTTTGCCTCAGTTTCAACGTCAGCAAATCTGGACCAATGAGTCCCTTCCTCATGGGTTTTATGAGGCTTAGAGAACAGAACCTGGTATGATGAAGGCATTAGTGAAAATTAACTCATTTCTTCCTTGTAATCCCCTTGCTGACTTTGCAAGGTGTAGATGTCAGCTCATTTCATACAGGAGGAGCTTCTTAATGCAACCCAGCGAAAAAAAGAGTAGAGCTGGAGTATGAACTTGAGTCTCCATCATGTGGCCAGTATGAGAATGTCAAGTCTCCTGACCCTGAACAAATTAAAGGCAAATCAAACCCCTGAAAGAGTTGAGAATGTCTAGTGGAAAATTTGCATCTGAAAATTTGTGTTTTTTTCCCCCTAAATCCAGCCTCTTATGTGCCCTCCACAGATAACCAGGATGCGGAGGCACCTTACGAGTCCAGCCAGCCGTCTTCTCAGGAGCCATCCAACTAAAGCCGGGCTCTCTGGGAGCAGTGGAGCCTCAGGAGACAGCAATGATTTTCTTGTCTGCCTTGAGCAATGTGTAGGGAGAAAGGGTACTAATAGGTATTAGATTACAGCGAATTCTCATTTCAAGAGAGGAGGAAGGAGGGTGATTTGTAAGGAGGGTGATTTCTCAAGTGCTTCTAATCTTGAGATCGGGGTTATTACCATGAGAGGGGCAGGGCTGTGAGAAGTTGAGGGGCTGGTAGGAGCTTGTGTTTAGGAATGAATTTAACCGTCCCTGGGTGTGCTGCCATTCATTGGACTAACCTTCCAAGGCAGTCTTTGATTTGTGCAGACAGGCTATACTGTCTGATTCAGCCTTCTGCTGTCTTTGCCTGCTCCCCAGCTGGGGGCAGCATTATGCTGCAGGCACCACATACACCGTGCTTCCAGCCCATCCTGGTGGCCAGGGCGGCAGCCAGGGCCAGGGGCGCTGACAGCAGGTTTTGCAGCGTCCTTCCTTGCTGCCCTGACTCTGCCATCTGCCTGGCCACTGCCCCTTGACTCTCTTCCACGGGGTGTACTAGTTATCATCCTGACCCCTACAGCAGCTTCACTTCCCCTCCATAAAGTTTGAGCAGTTTTAGGCATCATTTCTGGTTAGGGAAAAAAACAAAAAGAACCTATTAAAGTTAGACGATTTGAGGTTTTAATAGTGATTACCAATTTAGAAAAGTAGGTTCATAAGCATGGATGCAGTGTTCAGAGAATAGAACAGTATCCTGAATTAGCTATAACGTCAGCAGTGTCTTTTCTGGGGACAGTTGACTGTTGAAATAAAATGAGTAATGGAATCCTTGTGCATGGTTTCTTCTCTTGGAATCCTTGTGGAAGCTAGGGTCTAGGTAAGGAAGTTGGGGCTGGGTTCCTAACCTGCTGGGTTGTCTCTGATAAACACCCCTAGCCTTAGGTTAAACCTGTGGGTTGGGCCAGGGCAGTAGGTTTCTTTATTTTAATTTTTTAAGCAGTGGAGACTAAGAAAATCTGATGTAGCTGTAAGAAGCACAAAGTTTTCTTGGAACCTACCTTCCCTAGCCCTTTTATCATGGTCCTGGCAGAGACATGGGTTAAAAATATATGATAAGGAAAAAAAAAAAAAAATATATATATATATATGTATATATATATATATGGAGCTCTGGTAGCGTAGTGGTTACGAATCGGGCTGTGAGCCGCAAGGTCAGCAGTTCGAAACTACCAGTGGTTCCGCAGGAGAAAGATATGAGGCGATCTGCTCCTGTAAAGATTTACAGCCTTGGAAACCCTGTACAGGGTCGCTATGAGTCGGAACCGACTCCATGGCACTTAACAACAACAACAATATATATATATATAATTTGATGCCTTCTGTTGTTTAGAATCCTGGACTTAATAACCCTTGGTTTCACTTTTAAGAGCCTGGTAGTTACTAGCTGTGTCCGAGTGAAGCATGGGATCCATACTGGAACAGAAGTGGCAGGGCAGAAGGAAGGGTAGTCAGGTAAGGCTTGAAGGAGTCCTCAGCTGCAGCTTAAAGGGCAAGAGTGAGTTAGTTGAAGAGGAAAGTTGGATCCCTGGTAGTGGGGCAGGAACATCAGGACAAGGAAAGAAGGATTCTAGTGTGTGGGTAGAACCCTGTCCTCTGTCCAGAGAAGGGCTGGTACCCAGGAGATCATCCAGCAGGAATAACAGGCTGACTTGCTTTCTCTCGCCTGTGGGCAGAGATGCCCAAGTATCATCTTTATATCATTGAGAAGTGATACCCTGTTATTTAGCACTGGTGTGTCTCCAAGGGTCTAGAGTGTGTTTCTGCTGTTTGGAGGCACTGAAGCTAACACAGTCATGGAGCTGTTTTGCTCCTGATGTACAGATGAGTGCTTTTAGCAGGTGGAACCAACCAGCTCTCAGCCTGAGGCTTGGGGTCAGCATTGGCTTCAGTCTGGGCATGGGTGACATGGCTCTGGAGCTAAAGCTGATCCTGAAGCTGCTGGGGCCCTGGCAGAGTGGGAGCAGACCACAGTGTGCTAGATTGGCCTCACCCTGCCCTCACTGGGCCACTTGTGTGAGTATGGTGAGGTGGGGCTGAATCAGCAACCCTACTTTTTCATGATCCTTTAAGTTGGATCATATTTTGAAAGATTTTTCAACCAGCCTGCATTAATCAATAAAGCTGTTTTCCAATTGCTGGTCAAAGCATAGGGTAATGCATGAAGTAGGCCTTGTGAGCACACAGACTCCAAACCATTCCAGATCAATGCAAGGAAACCATGCTTAGTTGGTCTGTGGGGTTTGATGTGGGAGGCTTTGTCATGTTGCAGGGTCCACAGGGTGTGAAGAGTGGAAGATTACTCAATTCTCCAGAGACTTGTCTACGTCTTTTTTGGAGCCCTGGGGTTGTCCTACCAGTGAACAGATCAACTGTGGTGGGGATCTGAGCCCTAAGCTATGAAAGCCCATAGACTCATTTCCTGAGCCTGAGTCCAGTCCTTGTTCCCAGAATGCCTTGTACCTCCAGTCGGTCCACATCACTCACTGCTCACAAGTTTTCCCTGGCTCCCCACTGCCAAGACAAGGCCAACATTTTCACCAGGACCTGCCTCCCCCTCTCATTGTCCCAGCCCAGTGGATTGCAGGACATAAGGTCAACCAGGTTCCAGAAGAGACTGGAAAGTGGAGAGATCAGTGGCTAGGGGCAACACTAGTGTCCAAGGAAGGAGGTTTGGCTATCTCAATTCAAAAGTATTTTCTTTTTTTAACTTTGTAAATTAAGGGTTATAGAACAGATAATCAGTTCTCCAACAAATTCTACACTTCATGTCACTACAAACAGCAGTTCATTCCAGGGTACCATCAATTAATATTTGCCTCTATTCTGTGTATTTTTTCTCCTATCCACCTCTATCTGTCTTTCTCACACACACACATACACACACACGCACGCTCTCTCCCTGAAGCCTGCCCTGAAACCATCACAGAATATTTCATTTAGCCAGAAAATCTTTTAACTTTTCACAACAGTGGTCTCAGAGTATTCTTAGAAAGCTTTTCAGGATGCGTTGGTGGGATGTGACCAGGAGAGGTGAGGGTGCTTTGGCAGCCGCAGCAGTTAGGACCATTGGAGACCAGCCACCACAGGGGCGGGACCTGTTGCCTAATGACCCACCTCCCCAAGAGATGCGCTCTGGTGGGTGCTCTAAGTGGGCAAGTGGGGCTGGCTTGCGCACCTGTGAAGCCCTGTTGTTGAGTGCCATCGAGTCGGTTCCGACCCATAGCGACCCTGTACAGGGTTTCTGAGGCTATAAATCTTTATGGGAGCAGAAAGCCTCATCTTTCTCCTGCAGAGCTGCTGGTAGTTTTGAACTGCTGACCTTGTGGTTCGCAACCCAATTCGTAACCACTACGCTACCAGAAAATCAAAAATTCTGAACTGTCCTGGTATAGTGCTGTAAAACAAGCATTAGACTGCTAACGGCAAGATCAGCAGTTCAAATCCAGCAGCCTCCTCGGAAACCTAATACAGCTATGAGTGGAAGCATCTCATCTACATTAAACAACAGGTTGAACTGGGAGTCCTGATGTGCCACTGTAGGAAAAACACTGGACTGGTAACGTCACAGTGGTGGTTCACGTCCATCAGCTGCTCCTCGGAAACCCTACACAGGGTCCAGATGAGTCAGAACCAACATGAGGGCACTTGAAAACAGCAACAAAGGAGAGCTGAAGGAGCCCTGGTGAGACTGTAGGGTAAGCACTGGACTGTTAACTGCAGTTCAGACTTGCCAGGCACAAGATGAGGCTTTTTGTTCCCGTAAAGATTTACAACATCGGAAACCTATGTTGTTAAGTGTCGTTGAGTCAGTTCCAACCCTGCACAGGGTTTCCGAGGGGTGGCTGGTGAACTTGAACCGTTGACCTTGAGGTTTAAACAGACGTTGCAGTCCAGTGCATTAGCCCGCAGCGTCACACCAGGACTTCTGGAAATCTTGTAGTGGGACACTATGAGTTGGAGTCCACTCAGTGGCAGTGAGTTTGGTTGGTTTGGCTTAGGGTGTGCTGAGCTGAGGAGCCCCAGTGGTAAGCGGTTGGGTTGGAACCTATCAGTCACTCCTCTGGATAAAGATACGGCATTCTTCGTTGGTGAAGATTTATAATCTTGGAAACCCCATGGGGCAGTTCTCTGTTTTATAGGGTTGCTATGAGTTGGAGTCTGCTCCTGTTAAGGTTTTTTGTTTTTTCAATGATGTTTGATGGCCAATTTATCAGCAAATCACTTTGTGTGGCCCTGCCTGTGAAATAGAATGGATGCCTCGTGACTTCAGCTTCATCTTCAGACACTCTGCTGTCCTCATCCTCTACAAGGGTGGTCATGGCTTTATTCCCAGCATTCTCTCCTTCATTTGTGCACATGCTGAATTGCTTGTCCAGACTCCTTCCAGCTTCACCTAGGCCTCTCCTCTTCATCCATTAAGACTCAGCTCAGATGCTCCTTCCACCAACCTCTCAGCTTGAGCAATCGAAAGAATCAGGGTGAGAACCCATCCAGAGGCAACTTGGAAGGAAGACCTGGTGATCTGTCCTGAAAATCCTGTGGAGCAGTTCTACTCTGAAACATGGCAACTTTGATTTTTGGTTTGAGTGAGGGCCTGCCATCTAACACAACACTGATGCCCTTGACTCAGTGTTGTCCTTCCTAGAGACAGATTTGTCCGTGTCCCAGTTTTGTCTCTGGTTTCTGCTCCCTGAATGTACAGGGTAGTGTTACCAAGTGGATGGATGAATTTTAGAGTATCTTGGGGATGCAGGGTTGAGGAGCCCTTACAATTTTGTCCACTCTGCTGGGGGCTGAAGTCAGCCTTCTCTGAAACTACCGTGTGCCAAGCACTGTACCTTTTCCACCTCCCATCCCACCCTCTCACAGACCCCATGGAAGAGGCATTTGATCCCTATTTTATGAAGGAAAGTGAGGCCTAGAAAGGGGAAGTGATTTG